GGATCATCCCCTAAAAGTAAAAGGCAGAAAAAAGTGAAGTAGCAGAGAAGGAGAAAAAAAAGTGGGGGAGAATGAAAGAGAGGGAACAGGGAGAAGGAGGGAGGAGATTTGCCACAGGGAAGTATAGGTCATAATAATCTACTCCACTGGTAAACCCCAAGAGGGGAGCAGCAAAACCTCACAATCAAATATGAGCCAGGGCTGCCAGATCAAGAGAAATTTGTCATCTGTCCTCCAGTGAAGTGTTTTTTAAAATGTGGAACTAGCAACACTGGTGTAAAAAAAAAAACTTACAAAAATAACATAACTCTTGTGCAGGGGCGGACTGACCATTTGGAAACTCGGGCACTGCCCGAGGGCCCGGGGTCAGTAGGGGGCACCATGAGATGCCCCTGGTACCTTTTTCATAGGCTTTTTTGAGTTTGGGCAAGGACATAGGGGCCCCATGATCCCCTATTGCCCGGGGGCCCCATGAGTTGTCAGTCCGCCCCTGCGGTTGTGCTAAAACTTGAGGAACCATATTGACTTACCCTATGGACCTATCCTCTTGAATCCAGTGGACATTGTGGAGAGGACATCTGCCTATTGGCTTGCTTTCTCTTTCAGAGGGTCAGAAATGAACTAATATGAGATGGAAATGAAGGGAAGGCATGCTACTCATCAGTACGGATGAGCTCGGGCGTGTTCAGAGACTAGACTGAACCCACTTCCCGCCAGGAAGCTGTAACTGATCTCTGCCAATCAAACAGTTGAGGTATTTCTTACCCCACAGCCACATATATAAAAGAGGTACATAGATGAGTGGTTGCTGCCTATGATTGGTGGGGCACAGTGACAGCTTTTACTAGGATCCAAAACACACCTGAGCTCATCCCTACTCATCAGGATGCCAATTGGCTAGTTTTCAGACAAATTGAGGTGTTTTAAAAAAAGCGGTTACCCAATTTTATTTACCCCTAAATGTATCTAAAGCCATTTTTTGGTTGGAATAATAAACCGTGTAGTACAGTATGTGTTCCAGTAAGGAGATTTCCATTTACTTTCTGCCCTGGAGACACAATAGGAAGTTAGAGGAAATCTCTCTAAAGTGAGGGGAAATCCCATCTTAGATGAGTGTCCCCTCTATTCCTTTTTCTTTGAGAACTGTAACATTTTGAATTTACCTTCACGTTCTTAATCAGTGACAAAGATCACCAGGACAATTGGAGAGGGTAAATCTGCCCAGTGGGGGCAAAGACAAATACAAATGAACTTAATAAATTAAAAGGATGAGATTACCACACTAGTTTCTGCAGTCCATAAGAAGTTTTAATCCACAAAAAGTTTGTGCAATAAAACTTCTTATGAACTGTGAAAAACTTTTGTGGCACTCTCAGCCTTTTTAATAATCTCCTTTGAAGGTCCAGTAGGATAACCCGGTTGATGAAGCCTTTAGGATCTTTATACCAAATTCTACTATATAACATACCTCTACAGGATTCAGAGCTTCTACACTATAAAATATAGACAAATGTCAATGCTCAAGTATTGAGGGAGACAGAGAAACTGGGCTGAAAGAGCTTTACGCCTGTTTATTTCCTTGTATTATGTTCCTCAGAGATTTTAAAATGCATTAGCTATCCTCTTTATAGAGATTATCATTTGCTGTCAATGTTGGAGAGGCCTTCTATCCTTACATTTAGCCATGGAAGATGTCAAGGTGGTGGGCCATATGGTGTGTCTTATTAGGCGGTTTTTAGAAGGGAATATTTGGGGACAATCATTCGTGGGATCATGCAGGCTTAGACTGGACTATACATCAGGCGTGAGTACATTTCTGTATTTTTTACTGCTTTAAATTCATTTTGTGTAGCACCCTCCTAGGTAGGTGCTAGGATTTGTATAGTTCGGGTAAGCATAGCTGTGTTTCTCTGTCTCACAGAGGGACGGTTAGGAACATCTAATTGGGTTCTCTGCTTAACAGAGTGCTGTGATGGATTAGTTAGGTCTGCTCATGATGCTCCAGTGCTGTTTGAGTTTGTATGAGTTCTGCCCACCTTCAGGAAGCTATAAGAGCCTTTCAGAACATGGGTAGGGGCTAGACAAATGAACAGCATGAATATGGATACAGCCCTTGCCAACTGCAGAGGAGGGCAGTCCCATTGCATGCTAGGAGTGGAATTTATGTTCTGTGGGCAATTGGGTTTAGCGTCTTTCCCAGGAGAACCAAGCTAGGCTGGAGGCAGGCTTGCCTTGCCTGGCACTGGCTGCCATGCAGGCCTCAGGTGATTGACCTGAGGGCCTGAAGTTAGAGAGAGTGACCCTGGTTCTACAGTATGCTGACAGAAGGGAGCTGTCTGCCAAAGCTCTGTCTGGTACCACTGGAGGGTTTCACTGAGAAGACTGGAAGGAGGCCAACAGTCTGTCCTTGGGCCTTGTGAGTACTGACATTGAGGAATTAGAGGACTAATGCACTTGCTACCCCCCTTGGTGCTTGATAGTCAGTGTGGGTCTGAAAAGGAAAGGGAACATTGGCTAGTGTTCTAAAGAGCTTCTCCAATTGTTGCTACTGCAAAGGACTTTGTTCAGTTACATTACCTTTGGGCTCCCGCAGTCTGTCGTAACTGGCTTGAACCTGATGAGCTCAGCCCTGTAACTACTACTACTGCTAAAGGGACTTTGCTCACTTCTAAACTACTTGCTGCTGCAATTAAAAGAGAAGTCTGCTATCTACTTTAAGCCAGGTCATCAAAAGTGCTAAATTAAGAGATAAGCTAGATGTCTTCAGTGGAATTCCTACTGAATTCTCCATCCCTATCCCCAGTTCTACAATAAAACTCCAAAACAACATTCCCTAGACTGGTCATTGAAGACAACGAGCAAAAAAGTGTGTGTACCTGGCTGTGAAAAACGCTTTGTGCTTGGCTGCAGGACGAAGAAGAAGAGGAAACCTGGGCAAAAATACAGCGGCCCTTGAGGGTAGCACTACATTTGTATGAGGTAGCCCTAGTGGTGTCTTGGTTTCCATGGTTTCTTTTTCTACTAGTTATTTCTTGTGGTGACACCCACCTACATTTTAGGGTTGGGTACCGTCATGTTTATTGAATTCCCCCAACCATTCTATTTTTTAGTAAGATGTGAAGGGAGTCTGTATCTAGGATTTGACAAATGCCTATGATTTTAACTTGTTTGTGAGTATTTTAATACATTGTTAACAAGTTAAAGGTGTAAGAAGGTGTTGCACTAGGCCGGTGTACTCTATTTTCTTTGCTCCTACACCATATAAGCAATATAAATGTTATGACCCCTCACCACTCCAGTATGCTGGTACAAGTTATGCTAGCTATACAAGCATAGATTTTTTTTTGTTCAACCTATGAACCAAACAAAGGAAAATGACCAGATTCTAAACAATTTGGATGGAGGAATCTCCCTGTAGGCTATTGTGTTCTGACAGCTGGCAAACAGGGCTGTTGGTATACCCAAACAGTGACTGCAGCTGATTGGTTGCATTCACTGTTTTGAAGACAACTTCCGCCCAGCTTCTTCGAGGCAGTTGGTGCTGGCAAGGGCCGCCCATGGATCAAGTTTTGGCCGTTTCAGCAGGAAACAGACAGAATTCAATCCATGTATGACCAGCTTAAGTATTAGATGGGGGCTAAGGTTAGGGGAAACCACCCCATTCAATATCAACAAAATTTTTGACTTTAGAAATAAATGAATGCTACAGACAACACAATGGCTATAATTAAGGCTGATCGCCGAAACGCATAGGCTATTTTATCTGTACATCTGACTCCTTATAATAAAGATAATTATTCAGGAAGATGAGTAGCCAAAGCACCAACAGTCTGCCTCTATGGGGAATATATCTGGGCATGTAATATCTCTTTTTCCACAACACAAGGTGGATGCTCCACTCCACTTAATTTCACAACTACATATATGTATAGCTTGTGTTTTTATCAAACACTCTTTTTTTTAACCAACTTTGAAGGCTGTTTTAGCTATGTTTACCTAGTCTAGTACCAATGTTAGGCTGCTTAAAGGAAGGGCAGCTGGCAGCCCTGTAATCCAGTATAGGGTTTAAAGGAATGGGAATTTGTGTACTAGTTCCTGGAAAAGATGGTGGAGAACATACAAAACAGCTACAATAAAGCCATAGTAGTGTAGAAAATTGGTATGTGCAAGACCTGTTCATAGCACAAGCCATATTCAAAAACTGCAAATGGTTTGATGATGGTATTTAGCAGAAACATTGGCTTACTGTGGATCTCTTTGTCCAGTGTTATCAGATGTTATGTTTATCTTTACATAGCTAAATACTATTATAGTATAGCTTCCCATCGTGAATATGAGGTTTTCTGGCATATTAAGAAAAAAAAAACCCTGTCAACAGACCATTCATTTCAACAACAATCTTCTCTTAGGATTACATGTAAATTTAACATATTTTAGGCTTGTTATTTACATGTAAAAACCTTGTGTGGACATCCAAGAGGCCAGAGACAGATGCTGGGCGCTGCCATCTTGGAAGTGATGTCAACAGCCTCAAAGCTGTCACTCAAGTGTATTCCCTTTCACTCCTTCCTCAGCTGCTATATAAAAGGGTTATGTAAGGAGGTGAGGAGCTTGGCCAGCACAGACAGGATTTAAATACCCACTGAAAGAGGAGAGGGCTATGATGTAAAGGAGGGGTCTGGCTGTGCTGGGGAATAGTCTCTTTCTGAAAAAGTACATTTTTGTAACAAGTTCAATAGCGCACTGTAAATGAATGAAAAATAATTGATGAAAATGCTGCAAGTAAGTATTTGAAGTACTTGATTTTTCTGTGCTTTTTACATGCCATTTTTAAGTTGGAGACAGGGTCTCTTTAATTTAATTATTCGCTGTTAGTTAATGTAAATATCACTGTAACTTTTCTTTTAATGTACAAAATTAAACTACATTTAACAGTTTTGTCTGCAAGTTGATTTGGATATTAGACACAACTTCCCACTTGCCTCCACTCACGTACTGACCTGTCTTTGAAGGCATTATTCACAATAGCCTTTAGAATCAGCCGGTCGCCAACCTGAGAGGGTCCCCGAAAATGGAACATCTCAATTACCTTCAGAGTTGGATGGGCATGACAAAGCCGGCTGTGCAAGTCAAAAAGAAAATAAGAAATGATTATTATTATTATACAATATTTATTGTGTATAAAGATTGGGCAGGTTAAATCGTTTTGGGGGAAAAAAAAAAAAAGTACAAATGTTACAGAAAGTACAGAAAATACCTGTTGATCTGCCAGAAATCCAATGGGCTCCTATCTTCCTGCTTCAGCTGATACAGAATTCCCCTTTAAACTCCCAAACAGCATTGTCAGCCCCTACCAGTTCTTTTTTTGTTGGACTTCAGTACCACCACCCTAATCTCCTTAACATAGGTGGAGGTGATCTGTAGTCCACAGGGAAGAACCGGGCAGGGCTGATAACACTGCTTGGGATTTCAATGCAGCAGAATCTGTTATGTAAGCTTTAAACAGGAATTTAGGAGCTCGCTGGATCTCTGGTAGGATCAAGAGGCATTTTTTCTGTACTTGCATTGTGTTTAGTGATAAAACATGGGGAAATGTGTATGAATTGATTTTTTTTTGCCCTAACATACAACGTACATCTGGAAAACAGCCTGAGAAATGGAACTCTACTATCTTTATAGAAAGGGGCTCTTTTGGTAAGAGTAGTTAGGCTGTGGAATGCATGAATCAGTACTGACAAAAACAATATGTGTAAAAGATAGGATTTTAATGCAATTTAAATTGTCTAAAATTGTATTTACAGCCAACTGTTGCCATACTCTATGAGGTGTATTTTTAAAAACTTTGCCTAGCTGTTTGTCTGTCAAAAGTGCATGTAAATTCATTCTGTGCGAATGGGACAAAATCAAATGTTCTCAAGCTATATTCTCCGCAGATTGAATGTTATTCATTGAAAAAAGTGTGAATGGCAAAAATAGCATATTATGGCCAGTAGATGGAGCCGAGGAGCATATTTAATTCAAATAATACTCTGTGCCATCTAGTGGCCATAATGCGATAGTTCTTGCCAAAGTTTTATTATTATTATTTATTATTATACAGTATTTATATAGCGGTAAAAGGTTTGCTCAGCGCTGTACATTATAGTGGGGGACAGAACATGAGACAATACAGTAACAAAACAAAACACGAGGGGTTCAAGGGCCCTGCTCTTTCGAGCTTACAATCTAGTTTTTCCAATGAATAACATTTAATCTGCAGAGAAGATCGCATAAGAACATTCAGTTCTGCCCCATTCACACAGAACAAATTTACATGCTCTATCAATGGACAAACAGTTATGCAAAGTTTTTATAAAAGACATGCCTTAGTGATTACTGATCAGATATAAAATAAGTGAGGCCCGTTTGATACCTGTAAACAGCGCGAGAGGCCTTTGTGTAACAAATTCACAATTTGCTAGAACACTGCTTTGGACTGTCGCAAATATTCACTTTAAGCATATGTATGAATGTGTGAATGTGTGTGTATATATATATATATATATATATATATATATATATATATATATATATATATATATATATATACACACACACACACACATACATATACACACACATACATACATACACACACACACATACATATATACATACACACACACACACACTGTACCTGGCAGCTATTGTGGCAATATTCTCCATCCAGGCCATTATCTGCCCACCAAACGTGTTCCCCTGATGGTTGGCATGAGGAGGCAACACCAGCTCCACACTCTCCACACGGGTTTTCTGAGCCAGGAACTCTCCATTCTTTTCTTTTCTTGACTGTGTTCTGCAAGACAGGTACACATGCACTCACCTTTATCAAATGTGGCTTCAAGAGAAATTCCATGTGATCGGTGACCTACTAATACTATGCAGTAACTGTGTCCATCCAATTGACCCTAATCTAAGTTCGATGTAGTTTTCTACAGCTAGAATCCAGAGAGTGGTTTACAGGGTCACTGGGAGTGTACTTCCTGAATCCTGTGCTGCTTTTCTCTTTGCTTCCTTTATCATCGGGCTTGCTTGCAGTACCATAACAACCAAGAACACTCAAGGACCAGGACACACGGCATCATACATTGCCATGGTTAAGTTGGTTGGCTTGACCGCACCATGGTAATGCATGACTGACCCAGGGCAAGCGGCATTTACCTACCTTGGAGCCAAAAAAATAGGGCTCTGACATGGGGAAGGGACAGTGTCCTTGGAGGGTTCTGTGATGGGGGTCTCAGGGGCTCATGTATAGATGGGACCTCTGACAAGATGGGGGGCTCTGATGTGATGTTCCTTTCATCAAGATGGTTATATGTCCCAGTCTCAGGTTTCCCATTGATAAGTAACTTTTTTTCAACTTTTTAGACTGGGGTGCTTTGAGATTGTGCATACCTTTGAAGGGTGCCGTGACTGAAAAAATGCTGGCTTAGTGGTTATGCCTTGCAGTACTGGGGTCCTCGGTTTGATTTTCAGCAAGGACATATTCAGCATAGAGTTTGCTGGTAGGATAATTGGCTCCGGTCCAAATTGGCTCTAGTATGTGGGTACAAATTGGGTATGCACATGTGTTATCACATTCTGCACACCAATCCCAAAAACGCAAGTAATTGGAGGGGTTGAGGAAAGACCTGAAGACCTAAGGCAGGCCATACATGGAGTTGTAGGAAAGAAATTGGCTCAATTCCCCATCAACACTGACAGTGTTGACAGGGGATTCCCCCCTGCTGAGCCATTGTGTTCTCCCCATGGGGGAGCAGGGGGGAGCTGTCCCTGCTGGGAAAAGACTGATTGATAGCGGCTATATGGTATATTGCTATACCAGCCACTAGCGATAATCGCATGTAAAATTCGGAAGGCTGGTTGTACCCAAGTTGATCAATTGATCAACTTGAGTACATTCAGCCTGCCCATACACGGTTCAAATCCCGTCTGGTTCTAACCTGTCTATGGCTTAACTAAAAAACTGAACATTCTATGGAAAAGGGATCTCAAGCATATCAGGCATGGTGCCCAGAGAGAGCTGGCTCTTAGGACAGCAAGATGTCTCACAGCAAGGAGAAAGTCTATTCTTGAAAGCACTGTAACCCACCAGGATCACCTCTTTGATTTAACTGCTAAGAAAATTGAACACATTCATAGCTAACAATAAAAGGGATGGATTGGGTCCCAATTTTGCAAAAAAGTTCCAAACACTTGGGAATTTTCTGTTTCAATGGGCACACATTAGCAACCCCAAGGGAAGACGACCTACACAGTCAACCCCCTCTTGATTGTTGCATCAGTCCAGGTTTGATTCCTATATGACCAGCACCCTAAGGGCCTGTGTCGATGGGACCCTAAGGGCCTTGTATGGATGGCATCAGTTTGAACGACATTTGAGATCACTCAGAATTTAGTGACAGGTGCATTTGACTTGCAGGAAACTTCCTTCTAACCTGCTTCAAGATGGCTATAAATTCTCAAAGACTTGAATAGAAATGCAAACCCCATCTAACCCAATTAAAAGCCTGTTGACTGCTTTGTAAAATGTGTTCTCCAATGATAATTAGATTTGTATGGCGATATAGCAACAGGCACATCTGCATGGTAGGCGGGTCACACTACAGAGTAGCAGGTATTTACCGTCTTGGAGGGTGCTCCTGGTCAACAGGTCCTTGATGTTGTCAGTATGGACCAATCTCATGCGGCGTCTCTCAGCAGCAATACTGTGTTCCAGCTGCTCCTCTTCGGTAAGCGGGGTCAAAGGCTTCAGCTTCACCTGTGCATAACATCAGAACATCCCAAATGAAATTTGGATTTGCTGTTGCATATGCAGCACTTTGATCTCTACCATAAATGAGGATGAATTATGATGGGCATATCATGCAGACAGCAGTGTGATCTAGATCTACCCATTCACCATTAGAATCTTGAAATGATGAAGCTCCCAGCCAAGATGTAATTATTTATTTTAAAAAGGAACTTCACATCCTCCTGCCTAATTCTCTGGAATTACATGGAGGGTTTAGTGTCAGGGGTTGAGGCCGAAAAGTACAAACACTGAAATCCCTATACAGAAAAATGAACTATTGGGAAAAATACTAAACAGTATCTTGATGTACTTACTGCGGAATTTGGTACTTTCCCTCATGTTATACAATACAGTTGGGTGATAAGTCACTTGTGCTACGCACTTTGGACTTTGCTTTACCAACTATGGACAATAACCAGATAACACCATGTATATGTTCATAAACATTCCCACAAATGTTTCTGTTAATAGGTTTAAAGGGTGATGAAACATGGACATTGGTTTGGAGGTGTTTGGTGACCATGTCCACATACAGTATGTGGAAAAATCTCACAGCCACCAACCACCAAAGGCGGGATATTGTCATTCTTCTGTCATTGTGGTGCATTTAAACTTTACATAAACATACAAAACATGAAAAAAGAAACTTTCCATTCAGTAGAAAAACTATTTACTTTTGTTTGTTCAATAGAAGGTATTAGACAGTGTGTGGCAGGGCCAGATCTAGGGGGGTACTGGGGGGACTCGGCACTCCCCCCCCCCCCCTCAGATTTTAGTTGCACGCTCTACCTCTAAAAACTATGAAGGAAAGGGAAAGGGTCGGGGGGGGGGGGGGGGGGGGCAATGCCCAGCCCTAGTAATACAAATTCAGTATGGCTGCACAGTGCCCTGCCACTATTGGCCACACCACATCATTCATTTCAGGGGTACTGACCAGGATACACAGCATCATTTCTCCTACCTTCTGCCATGATACCACAGCCATGTTGAAGATTTGAATGTAGGACCCCATTTGTGAAGAAGCAACTGAGGGCTCTTATATGACAGGGGCAGACTCACACATGAAAGGGGCAAACTCTGATGTGTATGGAGGGGGGACTCTCAGGTATAAAGATGTGGTACTCTGTGAAAAGAGGGGAGGAGGGTCTTATGTGAAAAGAGAGGGGGCTGTCGTGCGAAAAGAGAGGGGGCTCTTGTGTGGGGTGGGAACTCGTATGAAAAGAGGGGATTCACATGTCAACGGGGTGGGGACACCATGTGAAAGGAAGGGGGACTCATGTAAAAAGGAGGGGGGACTCATGTCAACATGGTGGGAAGCCTCATATAAAAGCGAAGATTCTGATTTGCAGGGGGAATACTGATGTGAAGGGTGGACTCCCCATGTGATGCCAAGGAGAGGGTGACATCCTCATTCCCGGCAGAGGTCAGTGTCCTTCAGCCCAATAAATACAGCTCATGAATGGGGTATCTTGGGATTCTGCATACTTTGAGGCTCCATTCACATTAGCACATCTCCAAAGTTGCAGGATTTCCAGTGTGACTTTGGAGCATGACTTTTGGTGTGACTTTTGATGGACTTTGGTCTAGAGAATGTAAAGTTGGATCAAAGTAGTGCAGGCATATTTTCAAAATCTCTGTGACTTTAAGGCCTCTTGCACATGGTACTGATGTTTCCGTATCTGCTTTTTTTTTTTTTAAACATAATTGCAGGTCCTTGATTTGCGCGTTTTCGCGCATATTTGTGTGTTTGCACAATTGCACACTCAATACATTCTTAGGGAAAATTCATTAATATTTATGCTCATATGCACATATTCACGCTGATTTGCTTGCATGCAGCAGAAATTTACTGACCAAAAATGCAGATTTTCCTATTTTCTTCTCACGGTGGAATACGCAGGACACTTATTTACGCACCTGTGTGCAAACGCACATTGTAAATAATGGGCTACATTTTACCTTAGTAAAAACAAATACAAAAAAAATGCTGTATGGAACTTTTTCAACTGCAGTGCACAGGAGGCCTTAGTCAAACCGATTTGAATGGATGCCATTGAAAAGAATGGGCTGCTATTTGTCATGTGGCTATAATGTCCAAAGTCACACGTCAAGTGTCAATGGAGACTAAAAAAAAAAAAAAAAATAGGATGAGAAATGCTGGCCTGATATATACACTTTTTATTGCATCCAGGAGGAGACGCAGGGAACTAGCCTTGCCTGTTCACTCCTGCACCGCCTCTGCACTGTCAGACATTGCTTCTGGGTGGTGAGTTGTTGTACAGAAGCATGCTGTGTGAACAGGGAATACTGGTTTTCTAAATATTTGTCACACTGATGACAAGTTGTCAGTAACTAACACAGCTAGTGCCAGCGGGGAAAGACAGAAGAGCAAGTTGTGTTGACAGTGAGCCTCCCTCCTTGCTGTGATCGGGCCCCGCTGTGTGGCCACAATGGTCTGTAAGCAAAAAAAGGGCCTATGTAGACAATGGCGGATCACAACACACCTCTAAATGTAATGGACTTTATCCATATAATCATTTATATCTAAATTCACACTGGTGATATTGTGACATAATAACATTCGCTCACTTTTACATTGCCTTGTGGTTGTGCTACAAATGTGGCAAATGCCTGACACACTTTCCACTCTTTACCACTACACAGATCTTCTGAGGTAACTTGGATTCCGACCTGGAGAGACACAATTACATAGAGGTTAAAAGGAGGAACTGAACTTTGCAAGTTCTGCTCAAAAAAAAAAAAAAAATGGCAGCCAGAAGGCTCCAAAATAATATATAAAAGTGCCGCGCTCCCATACAAATAAAATTTGAAATACCTTATATTAATAATTCCAAAACGTAAATCAAAATTTTGATGTATATCACATATAGCACTCTATATTAAACAAATATATTCTGTGCTGATTACCCTTTGTGAAATCAAAATCAATATCAATGTACCCAAGTCCATGTGTACACAGAGTCCTCTTCCGATTATCAACATAAGAAGTGCCACTCCCAAAATCCACGTGCAGTATCTTAGTATGCGCTCACCTTGTGTTTTGCCTAAGATGATAGGCAAAAAACGCTTGTTGTCCTCATAGGACTGATGTAACCATATTCCTCCTGTGTAAAGATCCTCCAGATATAAAATTGACTGTGTAATTAAAGGAAATGGATGGATGGATCTCTCCCTTTTCCCCTCCAGGGGTCTCCCTCCACCTCTAAATATATCCTCTCTCCGATGTATCTCAGATGGGTATCATAGAAGAAAAACAGAAACCATGGTGCCTTATCCTTTTTAAAATGGTAATTTATTAATGGTCAATTTGCCACTCACACATGATTACACTTTTCCATAAGCTAGTGAGAGCATAGCCTGCAGTATCTGCTATACTCGCCATACTGATCCAAGACAACGTTGTGATGTCAGAGCCCTCCCCCTACGCGTTGCGTCACCGGGTCACGTCTTCATCAGGGGGGTATGATTGCAACACCGCTGACAAACCAGACTGACAGGTGAACCAGAGTGTTGTCATCCGAAGTGCTCTGGGACAGAGGAATCAAGAGAATACGGGGCCCCCACCATCTGCAGAGAGACTCATGACTGCAGCCAAAGATCGGTGAGAGCTCCATATCCCAAATTATCTAATTTACAAAAGATATGATTGCAATCATATCCCCCTGATGAAGTCACGTGAGCCGGTGACGCAATGCGTAGGGGAGGGGCTCCGACGTCACAACGTTGTCTCGGATCAGTATGGCGAGTATAGCAGATACTGCAGGCTATGCTCTCACTAGCTTATGGAAAAGTGTAATCATGTGAGTGGCAAATTGACCATTAATAAATTACCATTTTAAAAAGGATAAGGCACCGTGGTTTCTGTTTTTCTCCTATGATACCCATCTGAGATACATCGGAGAGAGACTATTTAGAGGTGGAGGGAGACCCCTGGAGGGGAAAGGGAGAGATCCATCCATCCATTTCCCTTTATACAGCATACTTATTGATTGGAGAGGCCCCAGGTGGAATAATATATAATTACAACGGTCCATTTTATATCTGGAGGATCTTTACACAGGAGGAATATGGTTACATCAGTCCTATGAGGACAACAAGCGTTTTTTGCCTATCATCTTAGGCAAAACACAAGGTGAGCGCATACTAAGATCACACTGCACGTGGATTTTGGGAGTGGCACTTCTTATGTTGAATTTAATCGGAAGAGGACTCTGTGTACACTTATATTTATATATGGACTTGGGTACATTGATATTGATTTCTGTTTTCACAAAGGGTAATCAGCACAGAAATATATTTGTTTAATATAGAGTGGTATATGTGATATACATCAAAATTTTGATTTACGTTTTGGAATTATTAATATAAGGTATTTCAAAGTTTATTTGTATGGGAGCGCGGCACTTTTATATATATATTTTGAGTCACATAGCACTATTTTATGACTTAGTGTGAGTGTCAGCGAACCACAGGTGGGTTTTATTTATTTATTCATTTACCTAATTGATTAACATAATCACGTTTTACCATAGTAGCTCACAAGTATTCACATTTTTTTTTTATTTCAGCCAGAAGGCTCCAGTTTTCTGTGAACTCACAGGAGCTGATCTTCTCCTATTAATGACTTACCAGGCCTTTTTCTATAATGTGTTTCTGTGTGGAGGCCGCCATCTTGGTAGAGGCAGGCCTTTGCTTCCTCATGTCAACATCTCCAGTAAAGAGAACGGTGAGCAGTGCAATAGAAACATTACCAAATCTTACTGTGGATCTGCTGAGTCTAGAAATCATATGCAGCAGTATCTAGGTTTACAATGTAGATATATTGCTGTAGCACTCTCCCCTTGAGGGCCGCCAAGTAATTTTTGGGTTCCCCGTCTTTCCTGAGCCTGCTTTGAAAGCCCAACCCCTACTGACACCACCTTAAACCTTTGGTCACAAAAACCCTCTGGCTGCAACCATAAAATAGACCAGTTTTTGATAACCCTTTTTTCAGTCAAGGCACCCCTTTAAAATTATGGACAATGCCGAGGCACCCTTTAAAATTATGGACAGTCTTGAGGCACCCCATTCTAAAATATGAAAAACAATTCTAATAGTTTTGTATAACGCAGCAACATCCACACATGTAGGATACCCAACATTAGAGGTGATTTATTCTTTCAAAGCAAATACACTTCTGCACACTGGTACTGACTAGTATTCCAATGTTTCTCTTCTCGCTCACTTTTTCTCCATCACTGAGCTAATGTGACCCCAGCACTGACAGAGAGAGAGGCAGGAGATGATCAAACTAGGATGCTGTGCAGGCGGCTGACAACCTCCTTATCAACTGGTGATGTTATTGGCTGTCAGGACGCCTGTGGCTAGAAGGTCGTAATGGTGCCTGTGTCCCCATAGTGAAAACCTGTGGCTTTGTGTAACTAAAAGGCAGGCTTGTTCCACCCACTGGCTTGTATACAAGTTTTGGGCAATTTTTGGACATTTTATCAAGGCACCCCTGAAGAAACCTCAAGGTACCGTGGTTGAGAAATGCTGAAATAGACTCACACACAGGTTACAGTGAACAGACACTTTGATTATTTTTTTTAGTTCAAAGGGTGAGCACAGTAAAATTAAGCACAATAAGAAAATATGTGCAAGAAATGACAGGTAACACTCTTGATAAACTCATACAAGGGTTGCAACATAGCACACTGAAATCAGTTCTTTTGTATGTCCTGCAATTCAGAATTCAAACAGAACCTCAAAACTGAGATGTTTTCTCCCAAGGTGAGCAGAATGGGAAGCAAACAACTCACATGGGCCCTCAGGTAATGGTGACTGGGTTTAATTCTGAAAGAAAAAGAGCTCTGTGAAAAGATGGATTAATGTCCTTTTAAACAGCAATTTTCAATCTTTTGTGAGCTTGATGGGGCCCTGGTTGGTGCACATCAAAATTCAAATCTCTCTTGATGCAAGGTTAGGAGTTCCCCAAAGAATGTGAACATAAAGTGAGGGAAGGTGCTCCCTTAAGTGATGCTGAATTAGGATGGTGTCCCTTTAACACTCTCTGGGCAAAACCATAGGATTATGCTGAGATTGGGAGAAATAGGGAGGAGGCAGAACACACTTCTGTAGTAGAATGGGAAGACCCCCTGATGAGTTGTGTAAACTGAGTCTGAGGCACCAAGGCAGATTGACCCACCTTGTGCAGATTTTGCAGTAGGCTTGTGATTTAGTATGTTGAGAGTGTGTAATGATTAGTAGGCCGCAAGGCAAGATGGGCCAAACAATCTAGGCCGTAACACTTGTAACTTGTAGGATGGAGAATACAAAGCTGAGAACGGAGTAACTGAGTTTAGCTATATCTTTTTGTGAATTAGATAATTTGGGCTATGGAGCTCTCTCACCCGATCTATGGCTGCAGTCAGGAAGCAGATAATCTCTCTGCAGATGGTGGGCCCCGTATTCTCTTGATTCCTCTGTCCCAGAGCACTTCGGATGACAACACTCTGGTTCACCTGTCAGTCTGGTTTGTCAGTGGTGTTGGCAGTCAGCAATTCCATCTCACTCCTTCACTCTCAGCGGCCTGGCCCAGCCCGGATCTCTGGGGTCCTGCAGAGCTTTCTCTGCACACCTGCCCTCCAACTCTCACTGTCCACTTCCCGTCTTCTGGTTCCCGAGCTTCTGTATTTATCTGCCATTAGCTAGCTCTTATAGGAAATGTAGTTTGTTAGATCATATTAAACAATGAATTCCTGCTATCAGCCTACAAGTCCAACAAAGCTTTTCTTCAACAGAATCTGTATAATTGAGCTGCAGAATACTGCTATCTTGTGTCCATTTACCTTCCTGTAGCCAGTATTTCTGCAGGGTGTTACACAGCTATGAGGCACCTCACAGCTAGGAGCCTAGGCACCCTCACGTACCTGGAAGTGCACTGCTATTTTGCAGGAATTTAGGACAAAAGGCACATTTTCAGGCTACTGCTTAGGCAGAATTAACATCCCTAAATGTTCCACGTAACACAGAAAATATTTACTTTTTTTTTGCGTTCAGCTCCACCTTAGGCCTCATTCACAGGGCTGTGAAGAACAGTACAATCATGGTGATTGAGCATATTTATGCAGCAGGTAGCAAAACTGAATCAGCCACAGCCAGCAAACCTGTACAAATCAAAGACACGCAGCTGTCCATATGTAATCTCACTTCAAACAGTTAATGAGGTTAGGGACAGATAAGCAGCCCTGGATGCAAACTGTTTTTGTCCTGGGCTGCTCAAACTTTCCTTTATGTACAATTACATGCAGACGGCTGCAGATGCCTGTTAGCCTGCCACTGATTTATACAAGCTTGCTGCCCGCAGCTGATCACATCTTCCTCTGCTACCTACCACACAAATACTCTCATTCTTCATTGCTTGCTTTAGATGTTCATGACAACATCAGATAAGATATCCATCCAATCCCTAGAGAAAACTGATATCTCTATTATGTCAATTCACTAAGTTACTTGTTAGGTCTCATTTACACCTAAACTGACCACAGATCAGGGGCGGACTGACCATTCGAGCACTCGGGCACTGCCCGAGGTCAGTAGGGGGACCTATGAAATGCCCCTGGTACCTTTTTTATAGGCTTTTTTGAGTGTGGGCAAGGACACAGGGGCCCCATGATCCTCTATTGCCCGGG